TATGACGAGTTACGAGAGCCAGCCAATGTACAAGTCAGTACTCTTATCCGCCTAGACGATTCTCGCACCAAATGATCGTCCTCAGAGAGCGGAAGGTTTGGTTGCCGGCGGAGCCGATCCCGTCTTGTCCCAAATTAACTTGCCACTCCACCACGTGCGCACCGAAAGCATTGTAAGCAAAGAGATCCATTTCCTCTAGAACACATTGTATCACTAGAAATTCTAACCTTGACAATTCTCTAGCCTCGTACATAGCATCCTCGAGTCGAGACGACGCATTCACTCTGACTGTCATCATTCCACTACGGATAAGCTGATTACATTCATGCATTGCTTCGGCTCGCACTACTACGATACGTAGAGCTAAACGGAGAAATAGTGATAGATGCAAAGTCTTCGAAGCGGTTTTTGGCTTGGAGAGGCAACTTGCATGGTCGCTAGTTCCCTTTGTTGGGTTCCTATTAACTAACAGGTCTCATTTTGGTGAAACCTGCAAACGCTCATGAAGCTGCGAAATGGTACAAGTGAGACACTTCACTACAAGACAGGGTGACCTGCTCAGGCTTTGCAGAGTACCACATGTTGCCCCCACGAAGTCCTCTCTTCCCATGTGATGTTCTTATGAAAGAAGCTGTATTTATTCGGGTGCAAAGGCCTGAGCTATGTCATTTTCGCTGCAGACGCTGGGCGTGTCAGGGGCTAGGTTTGGTGCGGCACGTCCCGTTTTCCACCAACTGTTGTCGCTTGACCGCTTGAATAATCGGTTGAGAACGGGTTGACCGCCGCGTCGAAGCCACCCCTCCCCCTCTAACACGCCTCAGCGCCTGCTGCGAAAGCGACTCTAGTTGGTGGCCAGGGCCTGTCGGCGACACTTGGCGGCCACTGTGCCTCACATCTACCTCTCCCCCAAATTTCTGACACCTTACTCACCATCTTCAAAACTGAGCATACCGCCAGCAACAAGAGCGGCGAATTCTCCCACACTAAATCCAGCCGCATCGGTAATACGTTCGGCATAGGATTCATCAGCACTCTTGAATTTCTCCAAAGTTGCCACTGATGAAACAAACACCGCTGGTTGGCAGTATAAGGTTTGATCCAGCCTAAATTCGTAGAAATCAGCTCGTACGTCTACGATGATCGAATAGGCGGGTGAGGCCTGCTATTGGCTTTCTCACCAGATTCACCAATGAGAAATGCTCAATTGGTGAGCCCGACTCCGCCCAAGCGATCAGCTTGGACCAGATTCTCAAGATCTGTAATGAACTCACTTAGTTTTAGGACCTTCCGTGCACAGCTTAAATAGATCATATCCCAAGATTTCTGACGCCCGATCGAAAACCTCCTTTGCTTTCGGGCAGTCGACTACCTGAACACTAAACTGCACCCACAAGTATAGAACAAGCAGTTGTACGCTTTCCAGATACTGCTGAGACTCACCTTACTACCCATACCAACGTACTGTGCACCTTGTCCTGGAAATAAGCATACGATCTGATCTTCCAATGGGATATGGTCAAATACGATTTCGTTCGAAGCCTTCTTCCTATTTCCATACCTGAAATCATGAACTTTGGAGGAGCTTTGCTCGAGACACCACCGCTAAACAGAGGCGAGTCTGCTGGATGCCTAGAAATGCCCTGCGAGACCTAGCCTCGTAACAGAACAGCGAAAAAGCATGAACAGCTACATTCAGTTGATATGGTCGCAATCAGTACGGGCGGTGTCAGGAGGGGTAGAGTGAGCCCACCTTTTGCTCTCTTGCTCTACCAGTGGTGATTGGCTAGTTACTGACTTAGGAAAAACAACCAGTAACGTCGCGGAAGGGCTCATTCTATTTTACTAGAAAACCGCCCCAACTGATTGCGACGAAATCAACTGCATATATTGAAGATTATATGCACTTACTTCATATGATATTTCTCTTTTAATAATTCACTTGATGTCTTCTCCACATGCTCTTTCACGAACTGCAAAAAATATTTTGACTGACAAACCCGACTATCATTATAAGGTTACTGAGTTGTGGACAAGACGCTGTCTCAGCTGGGACTGACATGGACCAAGGATTTCAAGTTTTGCGGAAAAATGTGCTACCGTTACACTACCGAGCACAAGCGCTGACTTCTCAGTGTACCACGAGCTTAAATGCCGTAAAGGACGAGGGCAAAACACCCAGAGCTGATCAGGCCATCTCTAGTCGGATTCGCGACACCATTTTTTCATTTACGCCCTTACAATGGCTTGGGAATGCAAAAGTCAACGTGTAACGTGGTACCCGTCACTGCCAAACCTTTCAAAACCGGGCATTTTTTGCCGAATTCTTCCTCTCGAAAGCTTAGCTGGCGCTGGCGCCCACGTTACGCGCAACGCCTGTTTGAACCCCGGTGGTGGCCCGGACTTCCGGCGGTTTTGGGCTGAGTGGATGCCATATTCGTGTTTAGAAGTCAACCTCTCCTGAAGGAAACGTACAAGGGAAATCCAAGTTCAGACGCGTAACTTCGAAAACTGGGGCGGTAAGGAAATAATGCCCAATGTGTTCATTCTACCAAACAAGTACAGCACCAATTAAGCTGCACCAAGAGCATAGAAGACTACGTTCACCCGGATGGGTACCGACGTGAGATTCGCTGTTCAGACCTACATGGTAAGCAGCACCACGTCACTGCATCACCTCTACTCCGGACTCATGAAACTATCCAAATATACCACTAGATAGAAGAGGAAGTGAAGTGACCTTTTCGGGGTACGGTAGTTTTGTCGTCGGATCCAACACGACAGAATGTACGTCGGAAAATGTTGATCCTTCATCCAAGATGCCATGTTCACTAGACGACGTTGGTGGTCGTGGGGCAGCAGCTCGTCTCCGAACCCATCGACACGCATTGAGTACTGGCGCACTGGCGCGACGCATCTAAAAAGAATGCTGTTTGCGTTGGAAAAGACTCACTCGATACGCAGAGGAGCAACAGAAGTTTTTGAAGAAGAATTGAAGGACAAAAAAGGTAAAAAAGAAATCCGAACAGTTCATTCGCATTTGGCTGATTTCGAGTTTTTTTTTCGGATATAGTCACGATCCCTGTGAATAATAGCGTGTGTGACCGGGTATGGCACGGAAAGCAGCCGAATCAGATTTCCCATTGGCTATATCAGGCTCAGGATGGCATGCTTGATAGCAAAAAGGCGCTCCGGCTGCGCTGCAATCCGTGCCGCGTTCAACTTCCTGTCGTTTGCAGGAATCATGACTGCTCTCCGGTACTCTTCCGTGTTGTACCCAGGGCACATTACCTTTGAAAACTCTCAGAGGGCGAGAAGGAAAGAGGTATCCTATTCAGAGCCGTCGTATGAGGGAATCTCTGCAAGGGAGTGGTAGCTGGTCGCTGGGGGGGGGGGGAAGGGCCGTATTTGGTCACCAGAGAGAAAGAGAGAGGGGCCGTTCTTGCTTTTGTGAAGTCTTTTGGCTTGTTGACTTCCCTTGGTTTTTCTCGTTTCACGCCCGCTGCATGTCCCCATCGCCTTCCACCCGACAGCAGTTTTTAGGGAAAAACTGGAAAAAGGTAGGAAGTTGGAAGCATGTAGAGAGATAACAGGTTATATAGATGAATTAACAGGTTATATGGGGCCGTACTGAAGGAAACTTGGAGGGGTCGTATTTCTGCAAAATTCGCCCCCAACAGCGGGACCTGAAGCGACCACGCCCTAGTTCCTAGTAGGGGCTTTGAAAAGTGTTCCAGCGCTGCTATTGTGCCCTGTGACACATTCAGGTCCTGATTCATCAGGTTTCAGGACAGCAAAATACAAAAAAACTGAAGAATCCGAGTAATCGTACTTGAATGGTGATTGATAGGTACGGTACTGATACCCTTCTGATTTCACTCAAAATATTTTGATCTCTTCAAGCATCAGTCATTATTGTAGAAAAACGTTTATTAAGGAATGACTTTGTTACAACTATAAGCAATAGTACAGATTTTGGGTTAGTCCGATGATATTAGCACTGTTAATGCCATAACACGTATTAAAACGAACTACAACCTTAGGTTGCGGTCATAGTTTGCGAATGCTCTGCTGCTTATTTGCAAAATCAATACCTATCCAAACCACAGCGATCGCAAACTATGAGACGCTACGTTACAGCTATTAGGATAAAACAGGCAAAATTAACATCAAAGTCGGTACATTCCAACTATACAAAGGTATCACAAATGAACATCTAACTATGAACAAATGCAACTGCGATATCAGCTACAATGTGATATGACTAGTGGCAAGAAAACGCCAAGGAAAGAATGAGCAAATCCTTTTATAAACAGAAGTCTCACAACATTGTTAGGCATTTCCTAAGGCTCCTTTGACTTATGTTGCGTCTATTCAAATACCATCTATACAAAGACCAATGTGTATTTAAAAAATCATAAACAAGTTGGTAACCTATAAATGACGTAAACATGAACGATCGAGAGAAGTAAGTGCATCTGACAAGCGCAACAACTAATAAACTCTACGAGGTTACAGGGGAGAAAAAGACGAGCCTAATTGTTTCCTACTGCAGAAATCGAATATTTACTTAAACGTTTGAAGGAATAGTCGACAGTTATTTTCAAAAATTACTACAACACTACTACCATTTCATATTACTATCGAAACGATAAAATTGAGAGTACAGAAGACCCGTAGTTGAAATCGCATCATCTACTCCGACAGTTTTCATTGGGAATTTGCAGACTAGCACCGGAGTAAATATAAAGAGTACTTGATCACGCATCCATGAGGCTATTGGGCTGAAAAAGGGTCATAAAACTACTGAATGTTGGCAGAGGGAAATGAATTAACTAAAAATTATAACACATGTCAGTCCACCAGGCCGGCTTCAATTAGACCCGTGATAAGTCCAACTTCGGCCGATCCTCTTCCAGTTATAACCAAAATCCATCTCTCAGGAAAAACTCGTCCAAATGGGGAAAAGGGAAGGATCGTAAAGGTTGAAAGAACAGAGCTCTCACTTTAGGGTGATACACCAGTTGTAATTTCCTTCCCTCGAAACAGTAACGGCTTTTAGGCAGCTGATTAGACGTAAGTATTTCTGCCCTTGCGGGTCCGGCATTCAAACTGATTGCCAGAGATGGGGTTTTGCAGCGTTTGCGCCTCATGTAGAGCCGATCAGTGAAATCCACCCCCACAACAGTGACAGCAGCGCCACTTGTCATTGCCATTACATTACCTCCGCGTTACTACATTATAACTTCAACTAATGCTCATAACAGCTGGTTTGAAGGAGAATAAATGAATGAAAGCGGGTAAATGGAACCTCAAAGTTTGTACAAAGTTTTCTTTCTGCCACAGTAGGCGAATCCCAATAGCAACGCTCATATCAAAAGTACTCACTTATGTGCGTGGAAATGGTACATTTTCCCTAGCTTCTTATCAAGAATGAACGATGGAGCAGTTCGCACTTCCAACATGTCGGTTTCCATGCGTGCCTTAAACGGAGCTATGAGAAACAAAAAAAAAAAAGCCCAGTCGAGATAATTTCATTCAACTTTGCAGAACTGTAAATGTAAATGTAAATCGTGCCTGATTCACTAGATTGCATGCCATTCGTCCAGCAAGACGTGAAGATGCTGCTAAGCCCGACGCAAGGTTAGACCAATCATTTCCAGAGCTTACCTGGAAACTCATATTGCTAGTCAGTCTTACCATATCCAAGGTAGACTTTTATGTCACTAACCACCATCTGGTAGGTTAAGCACTGGAAGTGAATCCTCTGAAGACGATATCCATAATTTTTTGAATTTGGGTTCATTCTGTCTCGTCCAAACGTCCGAAGCAGCCAGTCAAGCATTTCAACAACCTAATCATTTTAATACTCACAACTCTTATACCAGTGTAACAGAGCCTGGTCAAAGGCACATAAACGATTGCTTAGAGCAGGGTCAAAATAACAAATTTTAGGTGCCAGTTGCCTTGGCGTTAAAGAAAAGAGCGAAGGAAACCGCCGAAACTAACAATAAGGGTTTTCTGAATGCTGTCTTTACTTTCCAGGCAGTTTTAAGCACTGTAAGAGCGGCCTCTTGCAGTACTGAGTGCCCACCTGTATTCTATTGCTTATAGTGACGATTCCAAGGGCGGGCGGAGCGGAGGAAGGCGATGGGAACTGGTTTTTTTGATACTGCCTTTTGTTAGTACCATGTCAACTAACCGGTATAAACGTTGCTGGGACTCTTGAAAAGCTGCGATATGGTTTGAATGAGCCAAATTTCTTACAGAACATTTACAGGGCCGGTGGTGCACAAGCTTTGCTGAGTACAAATGCCTGCCCCCATCAAGCGGAACTGTGCCCTCGATTCCCCCAAAACAACCACTAAAGTTGGACAAATGCCATTCCCGCACAACGTTCAAAATTTGTCCCTCTCACTGCACCGCCAGTACTTCTTATCTGAGCGGGATTAAAGGCATTGCTACGTCAGCGCCACACGGCATGCATTGTAAGACTCGTTGTTCACAGAACCTATACCAGGGAAAGATCACGTGAATTAAGAGCGACAAGAATGGTGGTAAGTCACAACCACTACGGCTGAACGACTCAGTTCAGCTTGAGATGGAGGAGCACCAAATGGTACTTAGCGAAGTCAATTCAGGCCACCTTGTAAAGACCTGTAAAGTTCCGAAATCAAAGTGGCGAAGTTAAAAAGAACCAACAAAAGGAACTAGCGAATGTGCAAAATGCCCCTTCCAAGCGGAACAGCGTCTGGCTGAACTTTTGAGAAACTCACCTTGTGTGCATGTACGGTACCGGCCTGTACTGGATACTCTTCCATGTGTGGTCCACCAGCCACATGTGATAAGAACGCTAACTCTTGTTCATTGATGCCCAAAGAGTCCACATGAGGAATAATCTGAAACATTTAGCAGCTGTGGGAAAACCTGTAAACGGGGCGAAGGGGGCAGAGCAGGAGACCACGCTGCGCCGACAAAGGCTTGCAAGCAGGTTCGGATAAGTGTACCTAATCGCATCAGGACCACAGTGATTTGACGCGAGACCATTACGGTAAGTAGAGTTAACTAGCTAAGAAATACTAGCAAGTAGTCACCCGTCATTGCATCATGAATCTCCTGACCCGCGCATTCTTGGATTTTATCGGAGATATGGACAAGAAAAGGAGCTCACTCTATGAAGAATATCGAACATGAAAGTAGCATCAGCAAGACTTCCCAATTCGAAATGGATTGGCGTCTAGAACAAACAGGTTCTTTTTCACCAAAGAATACTACAAACATTCGGTATTACCTTAGACGAAATTTGGAGAAGATTTCGCCGGATCATCCGCAGTTTCTCGAGACGCATTTCTTTGTTCTGAATATCTTTATGTTGAAAAGCAACTCCAGTATGGACTAGGGCCTACATGAAACCAAGCGTAGGTCAGGACTCCCAATTAGAGCCAGAGAGCCTCGTTGGGCAAATTGTGGTATAATCCATTCCACTGGGGGAGGGGGTATCGGGGGTGAGTTTGGCGCGGCGCCAGTCTGCTCTCCACCAACTGCCGAAGCGCGCGAACGATATCAATTGGTGCAGAACAGGCTGGCGTCATGCCAGAACCCTCGCAGAACCCCTGACACGCCGCAGTGTATGCAGCCAGAACGCTTATAACTGTATCCGATATTTTCGCGCCCATGCAGCCAGGACGTCCTACGTCCCGTCTCTACGTCCCGCGCAGCTAGGACGCCTTATCTAATCGGGAATCCTGACCGTCTCTCCATGACACTGACCTGGAATTCTAATGTATGTATACCAGAAATGATAATGAGATCTGGTTTGAATTGAGCAATAGCCTTGAAAAACATCTC